TTACGGTTCTGCCACCGAACAAGTTTTGATCGCCAAAGCTTCGTTAAATCTCCGATTCAGGCCTACCGCCTGTCTACGGTTTCGTCTCAGTACCACCTACGCAACCACACCACTCACGGTCCCAAAATCTTCCCGGATAAGAAAGTGACCAAAATCACCCTTAACCCAGGAGTAATTTAATATTTTCCCTTAATTAAATTAAATAGGAAAATAAGCGGAGTCGGGGTGTTACATTACTAGTTTTGAGTAGCATGTTGGTCCAATAATGCTTAAATTACAAATTTCCTTTCACCTACCTAGACAACAACATGTTCAAAGAAAATTAATGTAACGAGTAGTTCACACGTGCGTACATGAATATAATGCAATCATGGTAAATTATGTTTATAGACTCTATAAAACTGAAAATAAAGAAAACTCAAGGTGCTACGTACCTAGTCATCCTCCAAGTATTAACGCTAAAGATTTGCTTACTTTGACTATGGTGATCAGAGTTGAGAGATGACTGAGGAAGTTTCCCTTCATTTGTAAATTTTGAGCTGACTGAACAATTGGGAATATTTTTCTCAGTCTTCACATACTGAATATTTTAACAATTGTAAATTTTGTTAAATGAAATTTCTAACTTAACATAGGGGCTAGACTTTATATTATGTCCAGACAAATGGCATTAATTATGAAATGTCATCATCAGTCAACAACTATTAGTTCAAAAAACTAAATTTTCTTCTTAACTTAAATTAAAATAAAGCTTTCGACCAAAAATAAATTAATAAAAATAATGCAAATTACAAGTGAATTTTAAGAACGAAAACGATAACAATAAGAATCAACCTTCTATAAAGCTTGGAACATAACATTAACTCCTCAAACCACCATGGAAGGAGGACTTTTCTCTGCTCACAAGCCTACTTTTCTTCTTCTTCTCCTTCATATTTTCCTGCTTGCTCTGCTTCCATTCAAGGCCATTTCATCACCAAAAACACAGGCAGAAGCTTTGCTAACTTGGAAGAACACCTTTGCTTCTGCACCACCTTCTCTCCCTTCATGGTCCCTCACTAACCTCAACAATCTTTGCAACTGGTATGCCATTGTTTGTGACCAGAGCAGCAAACAAGTTTCCCAAATTGACCTCTCCAACTTCGACATCTCTGCAACGCTAACCCATTTCAACTTCTCCCCATTTCTCAATCTCACCCAATTCAACCTCAATGGCAACAATTTCACAGGGCCTGTGCCCTCTGCCATTGGCAACCTCTCCAAGCTCACAACTTTGGACTTGGGCAACAACTTTTTCGATCAAGAAATACCTGTGGAGATAGGCAAGTTAACAGAGCTCAAGTATCTGAGTTTCTTCTACAACACTCTCACTGGTGTAATTCCCCGTCAGCTTAGCAATCTCCAAAAGGTACAGTTTTTAATTCTTGGAGGAAACGGCTTCTCCTCAGATCCTTACTGGTCTAAATTTTCAGGCATGCCTTCTTTGACATACCTTGATCTTTCTGAAAATCATGTATATTCAGAATTCCCAGAATTTATATCTAAATGTTTGAACTTGACATTCCTGGACTTGTCTGGAAATTACTTTACTGGCCAAATACCACAACAAGTATTTACCAATCTGAGAAGGCTTGAATATCTCAATCTCAACAACAACGACTTCGAAGGACCACTGCCATCAAACTTTCCCAAGCTTAAACACCTTCATTTCGCACACAACAATTTCACAGGGCCTATACCGCCTTCTATAGGCCAACTCAGAGAGCTCCAGCACCTTGATCTTAAATTGAATTCCTTAGCCTCTTCAATCCCATCTGAGCTTGGTCTTTGTACCAAACTCACCAACTTGGCCCTGTCTTCCAATCACCTTGAAGGGAAAATTCCGCCTTCTATAGGCCAACTCAGAGAGCTCCAGCACCTTGATCTTAAATTGAATTCCTTAGCCTCTTCAATCCCATCTGAGCTTGGTCTTTGTACCAAACTCACCAACTTGGCCCTGTCTTCCAATCACCTTGAAGGGAAAATTCCGCCTTCTATAGGCCAACTCAGAGAGCTCCACCGCCTTGATCTTAGTAACAATTCCTTAAGTTCTTCAATCCCTTCAGAGCTTGGTTTTTGTACCATCCTCACCCACTTGGATCTTTCGAGAAACCAACTCTCTGGGTCAATTCCTTTAACACTATACAAACTTCCATCACTCCAGTACCTTGATCTTGGAGATAATTTCTTAAACTCTTCAATCCCTTCTGAGCTTGGTCTTTGTACCAACCTCACCGACTTGTACCTGACTTCCAATCACCTTGACGGGAAAATTCCACCTTCTATAGGCCAACTCAGAGAGCTCCGGTACCTTGATCTTGGTAACAATTCCTTAAACTCTTCAATCCCATCTGAGCTTGGTTTTTGTACCAGCCTCACCTACTTGAACCTGACTTCCAATCACCTTGAAGGGAAAATTCCACCTTCTATAGGCCAACTCAGAGGGCTTCTGTACCTTGATCTTAGTAACAATTCCTTAAATTCTTCAATCCCTTCTGAGCTTGGTTTTTGTACCAGCCTCACCTACTTGAACCTGACTTCCAATCACCTTGAAGGGAAAATTCCACCTTCTATAGGCCAACTCAGAGGGCTTCTGGACCTTGATCTTAGTAACAATTCCTTAAATTCTTCAATCCCTTCTGAGCTTGGTTTTTGTACCAGCCTCACCTACTTAGCCCTGGCTTCCAATAAACTCAATGGGGAACTGCCTCTGTCCTTCTCAAATCTGAACGACATCACGGATCTGAGTTTATTTGCTAATCGGCTTACCGGTCCACTCTTGCCCTCTCTGCTCTCCCGTTGGACCGAAGTGGTCTCTTTGCAACTTCAACACAACAGCTTTAGTGGGAGTATTCCACCAGATATAGGAAGATTATCACATTTGATAAGCTTGGATCTTTCGGGAAACCACCTCTCTGGGTCAATTCCTCCAACACTAAGCAACCTTTCAAATATTCAGATCTTAAATCTTTCCAACAACAATCTCAATGGCCCATTCCCGCCAGAGATTTGTGCCCTCTACATGATAGATTTGTCTAATAACAATTTGACACAGGAAATCCAAAAAGCCCCCGACGATACTTTTGTTGGAGAGTTTGGCTTTTGTGGAGATGCTAGAGCGCGCAATTCCAAAAAAAATAACAACAAAGTTATAATTGGTGTCCTTGTACCTGTTTGTGGTTTATCAGTGGTTGCAACTACAATTGCTCTTATTCTTATGTTCCATAAGAAAACCAAGCGTGTTCTTAAGAAAATCCATAGTGCTCAAAACTTTGAGAATTTTGAGTCAATGATATTGCAAGAAGAAGTAAAATTTACGTTTGGGGAAGTTGTAAAGGCCATAGACGATTTTCATGAGAAGTACTGTATTGGAAAAGGAGGATTTGGAAGAGTATACAAGGCAGAGTTGCTATCAGGTCAAGCTGTTGCAGTTAAGAGGCTTAACACGTCAGACTCTAACGACATTCCAGCAATCAATCTCCAAAGTTTTGAGAATGAAATCCGAACTCTGACAAATATCCGGCATAGGAACATCATTCGGCTATATGGGTTCTGTTCAAGGAGGGGATGCATCTTCTTGCTTTATGAATATTTAGAAAGAGGCAGCCTGGGAAAGGCATTGTATGGGGTTGATGGGGTAATTGAACTTGGATGGGCTACAAGGGTCAAAGTTGTGAAAGGATTAGGTCATGCACTTTCTTACTTGCACCACGACTGCTCTCCACCAATTGTGCACCGTGATGTAACTGTCAACAATGTGTTGCTCGAGTCAGATTTCGAAGCCCGACTTTCTGATTTTGGAACAGCAAGACTGATTAGTGCCAATTCGTCCAACTGGACCCATATCGTTGGCTCATTTGGCTACATGGCACCAGGTAACATACCAATTTAACGTTGTGCATTTTTGGATCATGTTTTGGTGGCTGAGATATGTTTTGAGGCAACTTGGTTTGTTTTTCTCTTCATGTGCAGAGCTTGCATTGACAATGCGAGTCACGGATAAGTGTGATGTGTACAGCTTTGGAGTGGTGGCGCTGGAAGTTATGATGGGAAGGCACCCAGGGGATCTGCTAGAATTCCAGCTTTCTGAATCATCACAATCAATGAAGGAGGACAATGCAGAGTTGCTTTTGAAGGATTTGTTAGACCAAAGGCTGGAGGCTCCAAGAAATGAATTGGCAAAGGCAGTGGTGCTTGTGATGAGTTTAGCCTTGACTTGTATACGTACGCGTCCCGGGTCTCGGCCTACAATGCTTTATGTAGCACAAAAACTATCAGTTCAAAGTCTGCCTTCCCTTCCTTTACCATTTGGCATGCTAACCATCAACAAGCTGATGGGGATATAAAACTAGAAGGAAAAAAAATAAAACTAGTTACATAATTTATGTTATCTATTTTAGAAGAAAATCACATTTGTGTTACATAATTTATTTGCAATGTAAAATTGAACAGAAATTATTATAATTTTTAAAGTCAGCTTTGATCAAATATAGCATGTGCGTTCACAACATTCTGAAAGCCCTACCACATACTGCCACGTATACTGGAAGCATAAACATCACGTATACTACGTTTTTTTATTAGCATGTGGGAATTGGGACTGCACTAAAAAAATTGAGTTCTGCTAAACGAATCCTAAAATTAACTGAGTACACCCTATTACAAAAGTATATATTGAATTACTGATTTACCCTAATATAAAATGACCAAAAAAGATATATGGCATTGTGAAACAAATATAATTTTAATAAGTACACCCTATACTAACCATCTTGAACCCTAATCAAGAGATTATTTAGTGCCCATCTTTGTGATCCGCGAATCAAAATGGCTTGGAGCAGATGAAACCTTCCTTCTTTCTTCTCAGAACTATTTCTTGGCAACTTGGATTAGACAACTTAGAAAGCAGGTTCGGTGACATTCTATAATTTTAGTTTGAGATTGGAAGTCACAGATCTGTAATGGATGTATAATGCTCTGTAGCTATCTTGTGCTCTAAACTATATTGTTTTGCTCTTTTCTTATTACAGGTTTATTGGAACTATTCAAGTGGGTGCTCTTTTGCATGCTTGTTATTCTTTTTCGTGTTACACACATAAGACTGCTATTATTTTTTCTTCAGGTTGGCATCTTGAAACATATTTGATTGCAATTATTTTTTCATTTTTATGTTATTTTCCCCCTTTTGTCATTCTATGATTCTAGTAATTGCAAAGATTAGCTTCATTTCCTACAAGTGTTGCAATTATACAAGGCGGGTTCCCTTAGATCAGTGATGAAGTTTCAGTCTATTTCTATCTCGCTTGCTTAAGTTCATTTCCTACAAGTGTTGGCTTCTTCCAACACAAAAAATCTTATGAGATAATTTGTGTTTAATTTCGAATTTGTCCTATTGTGTTTTTAACAAAGAGGTGGTGATTGCAAGAACTTGGAATTGCCAAAAAACAGTTTTAGTAGAAGCATAAATCCATATGAAAAGTCAAAGATTTATAAACACTATTAAAAAAATCAAGCTGAAAATCAACTATAAAATAATGCTACAAGTATTAGGGTGTACTAGGGGTATTTTTGGTAGTTCCATAGGGTGTACTTAGTTAATTTTATATTTTAATTAAAATATTAGGGTGTACTTAGATCATAGGGTGTACTCAGTAATTTTAGGGTTCGTTTAGCAGCACTCAAAAAATTAGTAGAGTATTCGAAGGGAAGGAAAATGGAAACATTTTATTTTAGATTTGATTTTAATATTGGAGTCAAGTAGATTAAGCTTAATGAACAATGCATGGATGTGCTCTAATTAGCCCGGGATGTTGTGGCTAAAAGGAGTAGGGTCCTCTAATTTGACAATTTTTAATAAAACATGATTAACACCTGTTAGTATCCACTTTAGTTTTAGGTTGCAAAACCTTAATGATGAAGAATGATTTACATAATTTAGGGAACGTTTGAGAGTGTTTTTGGAGCTGCTAAAAGCTGTTTTAAATTAGAACAAGCACTAATGTCTTTTAAAACTGAGATGTTTTTAAATAATCTAGGAGTGCTTTGGTGAGATTCAAAAGCACTTGAGGTGGTTTTTCAAGAATCACATAATAGAAATGTTGCATGGAAGAAACATGGGAAACACTTGGATTCCATTAATAATACTTTTCAAATGCCAAAAATGCCCGTATTTTTTTGAAAAATCCCAAAATAGCCTTGCTTTTTTCTGCAGCAGAGCTGAGGAGCAAACCAATGTAACCTGGCTTTGCTCTGGCGACCTTTTCATGAAAATCCGAAAACGCCCCACTGCTTGGATAAACTGGACACACACCAACATAAAGAACGAAACAAAACCCTCTCAAGGAGAGACCTAGAAAAAAAAAACTTAAAACCTAAGCAAAGACTAAAGCCCATTCCCATTTGGCAATCTTATGGAGAATTGTTGCACTTATTACAAGTTACAACTATTAAAAAAAAAAAAAAAAAGCAAAACATAATGCCTTATCACCTTTCTTAGGTCAACAACATCATGGCAAAACCTTTCTTTGGTCACAAGCCTCCTTTTCCTCTTCTCCTTCTTATTTTTTTGGCTCTCATTGCTTTAGGTTGTGAACCTTTGTACCATTCAGCAATTACCACAGTTGAGCTTTTCGGAACAATATTTATAACCTAATTAACCTAGGCTAGTTTTCCATATGTAAGAAACTAAAACAATATAAATAAAACAATCAAACTACTCCTATGAACTCAATGGGGTAACTGCCTGTCTTTGTCCAATCTGAGGAGGAGTTGGCACCAAAAGCTTCACCGAATCGACCCATAAAAAGACATATGCTGGCAGCTTTACCGGAAAAGTAAAGTTTTTGTAACTTTCAGTTGAGTTGTTTATATGCATATGATTTATTCCTGACTCCTTTTTGTGATTTGCTACCTATTTGGTTACTTAGGCACCTTGGAAATGTTGTAATTTACTATCTAATAATTGTTACATATGATGGGTGCTTGAATTCATAAGTAGAAGATATTGCTATATGTGGGTACAATATTTGGTTAACATAGGCAATTTCCTAAGATTTGCGGACGTTGACTATGGTTACCACATTTGCGGTTGCGGTTGCAGTATTTGATTTTCAAAACTTGCGGTTACCGCAAACCGCAAAGTATAGCCGCACGGATGATGAGGTTAAATTATACAAGGAAATGGAACATATGACAACTTGTAAGTAATTAGTTTATTTATGCTAATGTTATTTATGCTTCTTCTTATAATAAAATGTACTAAACTATGTTGTTTTATTTGTAGATAACATTGGTGTTCAAACAATACAACGGGGTTCTTTAAATCCACTCACCACCAACACTTGAGTTTGTAACATTGGTGCATTGCATTTTCCTTTTAGTTTGTAACTTTAATTAACTTTGAATTGGATTTTTCTTTTTGGTTGTAACTTTAATTCATTTTGCTTTGCATTTTCCTTTTGGTTTGTAACTTTAAAGGATTTGGAATTGGAATGCTTGAGAAGTTTAACTTTAATTGGAATGCTTGGAATTGTAACTTTAATTTTCTTAGGTTGTGAATGCTTGAGAAGTTGAGGAGATTGTGAATTTATATATGCTTGAGAAATTGAGGATGTGTATTTATTTATTTAGGTTGTGAATTTATATTTTTGTGAATGCTTGAGAACTTGCGGTTTTAAATCGCAAAACGCGGTCGGTTTGCGATTTCAAAAATCACCAAACAGCAAATAATCGGTCGGTTTGCGATTTGAGTAAAAATTCGCGGTTACCGAACCGCAACCACCCCTAGTTTTAGTGCTAAGAATGAGTAAATTACTAAATATCTCATAAAATAATGGCTGGGCTACATCATGATTATGGATATAGAACTATCAATTTCCCTTTTTTATTTTTCATTTTTTTGGTTTTCTGTTTTTTGTTAAATGAAATTTCTAACTAAATGAAATTTCCCATTCAATACAAAAATTTGACCAATTCAAAATAAAATTCAAGGATTGGGGCTTAGCTAGCTCTATGACTCTATGACTCTATGACATAGGGGCTAGACTTTATATTATAATTGAAATGCCATCATCAGTCAACAACTATTAGAGACAAGTGAATTTTAAGTAAATAAAAATAATGCAAATTACAAGTGAATTTTAAGAACGAAAATGATAACAATAAGAATCAACCTTCTATAAAGCTTGAAACATAACATTAACTCCTCAAACCACCATGGAAGGAGGACTTTTCTCTGCTCACAAGCCTACTTATCTTCTTCTTCTCCTTCATATTTTCCTGCTTGCTTTGCTTCCATTCAAGGCCATTTCATCACCGAGAACACAGGCAGAAGCTTTGCTAAGTTGGAAGAACACCTTTGATTCTGCACCACCTTCTCTCAGTTCATGGTCCCTCACTAACCTCAACAATCTTTGCAACTGGACTGCCATTGTTTGTGAACAGAGCAGCAAACAAGTTTCCCAAATTGACCTCTCCAACTTCAACATCTCTGCAACACTAACCCATTTCAACGTCACCCCATTTCTCAATCTCACCCAATTCAACCTCTATGGCAACAATTTCACAGGGCCTGTGCCATCTGCCATTGGCAACCTCTCCAAGCTCACAACTTTGGACTTGGGCAACAACTTTTTCCATTATCAAATACCTGTGGAGATAGGCAAGTTAACAGAGCTCAAGTATCTGAGTTTCTACGGCAACGGGTTTTCTGGTACTATTCCCTATCAGCTCAGCAATCTCCAAAAGGTACAGTTTTTGATTCTTGGAGGAATCTACATATCAGAAACTCCTGACTGGTCTAAATTTTCAGGCATGCCTTCTTTGACATACCTTGATTTGTCAAGCCGTCTTGATTCAGAATTCCCAGAATTTGTATCTAAATGTTTGAACTTGACATTCCTGGACTTGTCTGGAAATGACTTTATTGGCCAAATACCACAACAAGTATTTACCAATCTGGGCAAGCTTGAATATCTCAGTCTCACCAACAACAATTTCGAAGGGCCAATTCCATCCTCTATAGGCCAACTCAGGGAGCTTAAATACCTTAATCTTAGAAGGAATTCCTTAAACTCTTCAATCCCTTCTGAGCTTGGTCTTTGTACCAGCCTCACCTACTTGGACCTGACTTCCAATCACCTTGAAGGGAAAATTCCGCCTTCTATAGGCCAACTCAGAGAGCTCCAGCACCTTGATCTTAGAGAGAATTCCCTAGCCTCTTCAATTCCATTTGAGCTTGGTCTTTGTACCAGCCTCGCCTACTTGGACCTGGCTTACAATCACCTTGAAGGGAAAATTCCGCCTACTATAGGCCAACTCATAGCGCCCCAGCACCTTGATCTTAGAGAGAATTCCTTAAACTCTTCAATCCCTTCTGAGCTTGGTTTTTGTACCAACCTCACCCACTTGAACCTGACTTCCAATCTCCTTGAAGGGAAAATTCCATCCTCTATGGGCCAACTCAGGGAGCTTAAATACCTTGATCTTCAAATGAATTTCTTAAACTCTTCAATCCCTTCTGAGCTTGGTTTTTGTACCAACCTCACCCACTTGAACCTGACTTCCAATCACCTTGAAGGGCCAATTCCATCCTCCATAGGCCAACTCAGGGAGCTTAAATACCTTGATCTTAGAGAGAATTCCTTAAACTCTTCAATCCCTTCTGAGCTTGGTCTTTGTACCAAACTCACCTACTTGGCCCTGTCTTCCAATCACCTTGAAGGGAAAATTCCGCCTTCTATAGGCCAACTCAGAGAGCTCCAGCACCTTGATCTTAGTAATAATTTTTTAAATTCTTCAATCCCTTCTGAGCTTGGTTTTTGTCCCAGCCTCACCTACTTGGCCCTGGCTTCCAATAAACTCAATGGGGAACTGCCTCTGTCCTTATCCAATCTGAACACCATCACCGATCTGAGTTTATTTGCTAATCGGTTTACTGGTCCACTCTTGCCTTCTCTGCTCTCCAATTGGACCGAAGTGGTCTCTTTGCAACTTCAACACAACAGCTTTAGTGGGAATATTCCACCAGGAATTGGACTGTCGACAAAACTCAATGTGCTTTATCTGAATGATAATTATTCTCTGCCTCAATTCCGTCAGATATAGGAAGATTATCATTTTTGAGAAGCTTGGATCTTTCGAGAAACCACCTCTTTGGGTCAATTCCTCAAACACTATGGAAACTTCGATTAATTCAGAGCTTAAATCTTTCCAACAACTATCTCAATGGCCCAGTCCCGCCAGATATTCCCTTCCCACTCGTGATGAATTTTGATTTGTCTAATAACAATTTCACATGGGAAATCCAAAAAGCCCCCGGCAATTCCAAAAAACATAACAAAGTTATAATTGGTGTCCTTGTACCTGTTTGTGGTTTATCAGTGGTTGCAACTACAATTGCTATGATTCTTATGTTCCATAAGAAAACCAAGTGTGCTCTTAAGAAAATCAATAGTGCTCAAAACTTTGAGAATTTTGAGTCAATGATATTGCAAGAAGAAGTAAAATTTACGTTTGGGGAAGTTGTAAAGGCTGTAGATGATTTTCATGAGAAGTACTGTATTGGAAAAGGAGGATTTGGAAGGGTGTACAAGGCAGAGTTGCTATCAGGTCAAGTTGTCGCAGTTAAGAGGCTTAACATGTCTGACTCTAACGACATTCCAGCAATCAATCTCCAAAGTTTTGAGAATGAAATCCGAACTCTGACAAATGTCCGGCATAGGAACATCATTAGACTATATGGGTTCTGTTCAAGGAGGGGATGCATCTTCTTGCTTTATGAATATTTAGAGAGAGGCAGCCTGGGAAAGGCATTGTATGGGGTTGATGGGGTAATTGAACTTGGATGGGCTACAAGGGTCAAAGTTGTGAAAGGATTAGCTCATGCACTTTCTTACTTGCACCATGACTGCTCTCCACCAATTGTGCACCGTGATGTAACTGTCAACAATGTATTGCTCGAGTCAGATTTCGAAGCTCGACTGTAACACCCCGACCCCATTTATTTCCTATTTTAATTTAATTAAGAGAAAATATTAATTTACTCTTGGGTTAAGGGTAATTTTGGTCACTTTCGTATCCGG